CTGCCACACATTCTCACTCCTCTCTCCTCCGGCTATACTGTTCCACTGCATTTCCTGCCCCCCACCTCCCGCTTCCACTTCTTAACGCTGTTATCCCAGAGGTGCTACCACTGTCACTGACGGGCTGGGCCTTGGCCAGCAGTCGGTCCATCTTGAAGCCGGCGGCCATTGGCTCCGTCGGACATGGGGGGAGATTCTGGCAGCTTCTCGCAGGAACCACCCCTGTAGCTCCCTCACTACCAAAACCTAATACATTTTGTTAACAAAAAACCCCACTTTTCTAAGTGAAAGAAATACAAGAAAGCTCAGTGAAGCTTGAATGTATGGTATGTGGGCAACTATGTGAGACTGCATGAACACTGATATGGAAAGCGCTGTAGAGGAACTGGCTGAGAAGAGCACCGAGTACCCATGAAATGTGCTGATGGTAGTGTTTTACTTCTGGCATTGCACAGAGAAATACTGGGATTTGTGGAAAGCATTTGCGAGACTATGGAAAATGAAGTGTATGTTCTTAATGGCTCTTGTTACTTTACTTTGATGTTCTCTTTTTGTTCTCTTTTTTCCCAAGTATTCCTTCAAAGTCAGCTGATGCTTCATATGTTATATTCTTACCATTTCTGGACCAAGTCTGGTTTCTAGATCTTGCAATATTGCACCGTTGACTTCTAGAGCAGAACTTTTTTTAGTCAGTTTGTTCAGCCTGTAGAAAAGTACATGTATATTTTTTTCATCTTTTTCAATGTGGACATGAAGGTATCATTTAAAGAAAGTGGCAACATAATATTGCATTAACAGTGTATTATAACAGATCTAGATTAATTAAAATATGTGAAGTCACGCCCGCAATTTCATTAATGGTTCTGACTTATCCTTTCTTCAGTATCTTTCATGTAAATCAAATTAATCTAAGAAGATTAAAATTATGTTTTAAAGTTTTAATGAAAGCTTTTAAATGGTCAGTTACTTTGATAGGATGTCATTAAAATAACATTAAGGATTAGTTATTCCCACAGTAAGAATTAGCAATAGACTTTTATTTGCTCTTTTATGTTTAGTTTTCTGTAGAGCTTCCCTGCCTGCTTGTATTTTTAGCAAACTCAGCAGTTAAGGTTATGAACTACTGTTACAATGTGTTTTAATAAAATCTGGTTTGGAGACTCCTTATTAACATAAGAGGTGAAGAAAAGTCCGTCTTTAATTAAAATGTTTGACCCATGGCATTGTTTCATATTAATTTCAGTTATGTTAGATATTTCAAAAAATCTTTCTTATACAATCAGTGAATGAAAACGTTTTACTGCTGTATACTAATACATGTGTATGACAGAATATTAAAAGTGAAACTAAAAATGTAACCTTTTCCTGCTCCTCCATCCTTAATTCATTTTAGTCTAATTTGATTTCCAGAACTTTATAATAGTTTTCATTATGCGAGTGCTGCTTTGCTCTTATTGAGAGGCCTGATATCATAGGTTTTAAGCCCAATATGCTAATGCAGAATTTGTCCCCCATGCAGATGTTAATGTCTTATTGAGTGTTAAGTGGAAGGTCTCCATGCTGTGTTCTGAGAACTTGCATGATTTGAAAACGTGACCTTTTTAAAGGAGCAGCCTGAAGTTAGCCACCCACTAACTAGCTAAAAAAAGCCCTGAAATCAGTTCATGATATTAAATTATACAATTAAGGTAATTGTTTAATTTTTGGTAAAATCTTTTTTGAAACACAGTGTTAATTATAAGCTTCTCAGAATATGGGTGACACAACCTGGTGATTTGCAGGCTATCCCTCCACTTGCTCAGAAAATGTTTATGTAAATTAAAACAGCCTGAAGGTTTTGCCTGTGATGGTTCTTTCAGTCTGTGTGGTGTATTCTGTTCACCCTAAAATAAGATGTAGCATGAAATATTAGTTATTTACAGCATTCTGAATGGAAGTTAGTATCTGTTTTAGCAGTCTTTCTGAGAATGTTGAAAAAATGATATTTAAAAAAAAAATTGTATAAAGGCATATGGTTAGTCATATATACTTAAAAACATTGAGTCTGGAAACCTGAAACAAAAATAAGTTTTCATTCAGGTCAGTCTTCCTCCTCTTCCTCCTTTCCCAGCCTGACTTATTAGGTGTTGGGGTTGGATATATTGTGGTGTTATTTTAACTTTCTGTTTATAGGTATAATTGAAGATCTACATGAAAGTAACTTTGGGCTAGTTTTCAGGTTGTGTTTGCATCCTTATACCCCCTTAGCCCTCTTTCTGCGTCTCCATTGTTTAACCAGAAATACAGCAGTAGGGTTCATTTGTACAAGCTCTAACGTCAGTTCTTCTTTCAACAGTGCGTTTATGTTCAGATCGACTTAGTCTCATCAAGGACTGTCTTGCTCAGATGTCAACAAACTATAAACAGTCTGCTAAGCTGCTGGGACTTGCAAATTTGCTAAGGGTTGCAGGTAAGCTCTGTTAGTAAGACACTGATTTGCAAAGCAACATGCATTTGTGTTATGCTTTAGGATGTTTGAGTTGATCATTAGAATGTGTGTTCAAGAAATATCACTAAAAAGTCATCTGGAAGAGCAGTCACTGGGAAGGAATGAAATATTTTACATGAATGAAACATTTTATCTATAAAACAGCTGATATTGTCAGCTGCTCTGACGTTCTGCAAATACCTAAAATAAAAAAAAACTTGTCTAATCTGGATTTTGAATAAAAGCTTATTTCAGATTGGAGGAGTTATGGCTGAGAATATTTTGTCTTACAGTTAATTGGTGGTACTAAAATTCCAGTACATCTTACTGTCTCTGTAAAATAAGGTAGTTTGATTTGATAATAGTCCCAATGCAGTTAGACAGGAAAAAAAGTAATCTGTAATGCATAAACTTCAGTTGTTATACTTTTGTCTATGCTTCATGTATCTCCTTTGTGCACTAAAAAGAATGTGTTTGCTTGAGTATTCATTTGAGGAGCTGAACATCTTCAAGGATTGAATCCTAAGGATATTAGACCTTTGAATGATTTAAAAATCACTACTTAAGCTACAAATTACATGTTTATTCTAAGAGTTTTGGGCTTGCAGACTTTAATGATTAACCTCAGGAATAACTCTAATGGTTGTTCCTGTGGTAACTGTGGAATTTTACTAGTAAAAGTATGTTTCAAGAGTGAATCTTGGTAAGGGATACACTACTTTGACACTTACTTTTCTTGTCTCTTATGGTAAATAAGCAAATAACTCAGTCAATTTCAAAGTTATCTTTTGGTTACAGAGTAACATTTATTTGAAAGGAAAGAATAGCAAGAAAACATTTCCAGTAGTGACTTCCTGTGGTGGTGGATGTGGATGTGGTGGGGTTTTTGGTGATTTTTTTTTTTGTTTGTCTGTTAGTTTTACTTTTTTTTCCCTTTTTTTTTTTAAAATAAGCTAGTTTTAAGCTTTTTGTGATTAAAAATCATTTCACTGTCACTGAGGGATGACTAGTCGGATTTCTTATCTAGAAATACTACTTTTTGTACAGGATATTCATTTAAAAGCAAGATATGGATTCAGTATGAGAATGCCATAGTTGTGAATTTTATCTGAACTTACTTGTTGTAGGAGATGGGCTATGGAAAACAGGTTTCTTTCATTTTAAGAAACTCAGTATTTCTTTAAGCTTTTTTAGTTTTTCTGGACTTGAAAGCTATAAACAGCATACCAGTATTACTGCAGATTTTTTTATTCCTGACATTCCATCCCATTGATGAGTATCCAGACGGGTATCCAAAAGCATACAAAGGAAACGTGATTGTCATCGCTATTTTAAGTCATGCATGCAAATGCAGTGTTTTTCCAACAGATTGAAGAAAGTCTGTAGAGCCTGACTCTTTATTCCTCAGGCACTGCTGTATGTACTTCCAATGAGTGGTGGAATAGGCAAACTTACACTGAATTTAAAGTTGCATATGATTTTAATAGCTAGGTTAAGAATATTTTTTAAAAAGGATTTTAAGTGGAATGCTGGCATAGCCTTAATCATAGTCTGGAAATGAAGAGTATTGTAAAATTTAATAGTAGGTATAAAAAAAATAATTAAAGCAAGACATACAGAAATGGTAGTCTGTATCTATCGACTCGTAATTTAAGTTATTGAGTTACAATTATTAATACAATGAAGACTTATTTTAGGACTTGGTAGCCATAAGAATGATAACAAATGCTACTATTGTAGCCAAAAGGGCAGCTCACACATCCAGATCTTAAGATTTGTGAATGAATATATTTTATTTTAAACTGAATATTAGGAAAGGAAAACCTTCCTTGCAGTTTTAGCACAGATAGTTTTTGTTAGCAGGTTTAAAACTACTGGGAAAGGGTAACTTGATTTCTAACAGCTTATCATGAAAGGGAGTGGTTTTATGGAGATATATTGGGATGAGTCTGGATATCGAAAAAGAATCTAGGGATTGAACTTTATGGACTTGCCTAATGAAGAATTAGATAAAGTGCTGCTTTTTGTCCTTAATTGGTTTTCACTACTTACACAATTATCCTGATTTATGGGCCACCTTTTCTGTGACAGAAGTTGTAATTTTGTCTTGTGGAACATACTTACTGGTATTGGTTATGCATGCTCAAATTTGCAGTCCCTTCCATTCCCGATCCACTGTCTGTATCTACCAGTAGAGTGCTGCCTTGTGCTTTATCTCGTAACTGAAGGAATTTGTTTCAGCATTTCCCCCTCTTTGCTCCCCCTGCCACCCCACTCCATATGGTTACTGATTGTGAAAGACCTGCTTGCTACATCTATCCATACCTATATAAGTTTTATACTTATGTATATATATAGTATATGCTAAGCTATACTGTATCTAATACATAATCTATAAGATACTATGAGCATATATATTTTAATTTCAATTCTGAAAGAATGCATTGGCTGCAAATACAAGGGTAGAGTGCACATGATCATCCTTAAGGAGCTTTAGGAGCTGTGTTCTCTGAATACAGTTTGTTTAGAGAGCAGCACTGAAAGTGAGTAACAATTTATATTCATACTTATTAAAGCTAAAATATTGCTTCGGTAGTGATATATCAGCTAGTGTCTTAATTGCTTTAAAGTATTTGATTAATGACAGTAAACTCTACTTAAGCCTCGTGTCACTGCCTCTGTAAAGTAAGCACACAAGTGTTATCTTAATTTCACAGATGGGCAAAGTGAGTGAGGGAGAATGCGCATGGCAGCCAGAAAATCTGTACCTGCTCAGGGAGCTGTAGCTGTTCTACGTCTGGCAATCCTCACTTAATCCCCACTGTCGGTTAAGAAGGGGTGTGAAAGAATTCACTTTATGCAGTTACTTGTTTACAAAATAGAGGAGCAAAAAAAGAGTTAAAAAAAACACTTACGTTTCAGAAATTAAGAACATCTTCTCTACTGTTACTGTGTATCAAAGAATTCTAATGAGCATTGATCTTTATTTCTTGAGTCAGGCTCTCTAGAAATCTTTTTTGTTCATTATTCTCTTTTCTCACAACTTTCTGTGGTAACTTGGTTAATTTTAATATCCATAAGCTAATTCTAGTAACTTTAAGCTTTGCTCACATTCCTGAATCAAAACTTATTTTTGAAATCCACCTTCCTCAGCACTGACTTTCTTGCTTAACGCACATGGAAATAACCATACAGATGGTTTCTGATTTCCTTTGTGGAAACGTTGTGGGCAACATGGAATTTCTGGAGTATACATACAATTTTGACACCATTTGACTTTTAAGGTTTTATGACTTAGTTTCACTCAAGATAATGTTATTTCATGCACTCACAAATAGCATGCATCTTACACAAAGTGTTTGAATAAGCTTTTCCAAAATTCCAAATTGGATCCAAACTTAAAAAAAGTATTTGAACATTCTTTATTTCTCAAGAAAAAATGATACTCTTCTGTTTCTGTATTTTTCCTCTCATCACTTGTAATAGAATCATAGAATAATTTAGATTTGAAGAGGTCTTTAAGATCATCGAGTCCCACCACTAACCTTGCACAGCCAAGTCCATCACTAAACCATGTTCCTAAGCACCACATCTGCATGTCTTTTAAATACCTCCAGGGATGATGACTCAGCCATTTTCCTGGGCAGCCTGTTCCAACGCTTGACAACCCTTTTGGTGAAGAAATTTTTCCTAATATCCAATCTAAACCTCCCTTGGGTCAACTTCAGGTTATTTCCTCTTGTCCTATCACTTACTAATTGGGAAAAGAGAGACTGCTACCTCGCTAGAACCTTCTGTCAGGTATGATGCCATATGTGCTGGTATCAACTTCTACCTGAATGCTAAACATCATAACAAAAAGATATGCAAAGAACTTTGGAGACTTAACTCTTACTGAGTGGAGTAACCCTTAGAATATAAATACATTTTCCCTATGATGTAGGGAGGCAATAATCCAAAGGAGTTGAACACACACAAACATTCACAAATAATAAAAGGGAAACAAAAACTAAGATATCCTTTCTGGTTTCTGAACTTGATGTATTTGAGTCTGGATGTCACACATTAACATTAAGGTTTAATGCATAATTACTATCTAATATAAGATGATCACCATTTTAATAATTTTTCTCAGTGAAATTTTCTTGATTTTAAATCTTGGATGTCTGTCAAAATGGTAAGGGGAACAATTTAGAATTAAAAACTTTCGCTTTTATAGGACTTTATTATTAAAAATAACTTCAAATGAGATGTCACAAAGCTACAGTGGTGAATTTTTTCATGGTTGAATAGAAGAACAAGACCATGCCTCTAAACTGCAGCCAGTGGTATTTTAAGTGACTGCACTGTTGAGGCAATGAAAGCCATGTGAATAAGGGCTTGGGCTGTGCATTGCAGGGCATTCAGTGGTCATGTCAGAGCTGATGGTTGTTCTGTGGCATAACAGCCTGTGTCAAGATAATGGAAGTTTAAATGAGTGAACAGTGGAGATAAGATGAGCAAGTTTAGCTATGGACTGGAAGGAAAATGATCCTTACATTTTATGCTTGTGCTTTTGTAAAAGCAAATGTGGAGGTGTATCCTACTGCATCAAAACTAGTTAGCTAAAACATTGGGGATGGGGGACTTGTCAGCATACAAGTGCTCAAGCACAGTTAAGAAGAAAACCATTCCTTACTCCAAGTGTTCCTCTTCTCTCCAATCCCACTGATTTTTAGGTGGTAATAAATAGCAGTCATTGTTTTGTCTAGCTGAAATATGGGAGACAATAGTTTGATTATTTCTCTTGCCTTTTATTTCTGTCTGCTACTTAGTCAAATCTCTCTAAGTAGTAAAGCTGTCAAGGTGAAGTGGGCATCAGAAGGTGAGTGACTAGTACGAGTCTCTTGCTTATAAAAATGACAGTTCACATTTAGCCTGTGTGGATAGAAGCACCTCTCTGTCATCTGTAATTGCTTTTTCCCGAATGAGAGGTTCCCAGGTTCCAGAGGGCAAAAGTTTGCAATGGAAGAGCATTGGATGTGATTAATTTGCAACATCATGTGTTAGCAGTATATAGAGCAAGAGGCCGAAAGATAAAATGATGGGAAGCCAACCTGTTCTCCCAGCTGGGTTAGTCATGACGTGCTGGGATTAGGGGAATCTTGATTGAGTTCCGTAATTAGGGTAACTTCACTTCCCTGAATGTCATTCTAGCGCAACCGCTACATCGTTTGAGAAAGCTTTAAAAAGAAGTTTGCTTTGCCTGTGGTGATGGACCTGTGAAGTCCAGCTAAAAATAACAGCTATGCTATTTAAGAACATGTACTCTTTAAATAGTTTTTGGGACTGAGTCTGTTTAACCTTCTGAAATATTTGCATTTCACAAGTTGTAGTAATACACTTTCATAAAGCAGTACCCTTTTCAAATGACTGTAACATCAGTGACTGCGTAAAATTGCTTTTAATAATAGGGGAGAAACGTGAGTAAGAAGCTTGCATTGAAAAAATTTGCTTATTTTTATTAGCTTCTTGACATCTTTCTTTCCTAAATTAAAATGAATAGCATGAGATTATTTTTCCTGTGTATGTTTAGTCACCTTCTCATACAGTACATGGGCATATACACTATTTTGAGCACAAGACTGGACTAAATGATGTCAGTAAAGTAAGTAACTTTCATTCTCTTGTGGTCACTCTAAATTGGGAAAAGCTTTAAAAAAAAAAATGATGACTGGTAAAGGGTGACAGGTATAAATGTTATTTGTATTGACTGTAACTGGCTTTAAAAAGGAGATGAGTTGTCTGATTAGATTTTCATCTCTGAATGATGATGTAATAAAATTAAAGTCAGGATATTTTCCTACAAAGATTCTGGATGGAACGTTAGTCAGAAGAGATGAATAGTATCTGAAGTGTTAACTTTTGATTTGTAACTGGGGAACAGGCATTGCCCAGAAGGTCTGGTGACCAAGATGTGTGTATGGTGTGAAAAAATAGTTTCAGTTCTACTCACTAAATTTATGAGGGTAGGGATCTTTAAATACCTTTGTCTTCCACATCTCTTGAGTTTTTTTGGCTCCATGAAGTGGGAGTTTAAACTGGGACTTTGTATACTGTAAGAAAACAATTAAAAATTTTGAAATTATTCTTCTGTTACAGTTAACAGAAGTTTTTTTTCAATGTCAGGATTTTGATTTATATGTCACTTGCCTTAAATATCACTTTTGATCTGTTTCTTGGCCATTACATAAATACAGTTTTCAAAATTTTTTTTTTAACTTACACATGACATACTGTGTAGATTTTTTTTAGCCAGCTATGATGCCAGTATATTTTAAAATACATAACTGTTTTTATTGTTTCCTTCAGGAAAAAGCAGATAATTTTTTCTGCTTCAATTTCAAGACAGGCTTTTCATGTTGTGGCATATTAAGAAATAAAGTAGCAAGCTTAAGTCGACCATTAATTCCAATTAACTAATAAAAATGTTGAATTTTTCTTACAGGAGATGATCAGATGGAGAGAAAAGGTCAAGTTTTAATCCTTTTAGTGGAACAAGCCCTCAGTTTCCAGGACTACAAAGCAGCTAGTATGCATTGCCAGGAGCTCATGGCCACAGGTGAAGTGAATAAATGGGGATTGTGTGGGGTGATGGTGATGAAAATCTGAGTTCTAACTCTCAGCTTACTGTGAAGTATCGTACTTCAGATTGGTCCATTTGATTCAAAAATCATTTATATTTTGTTTGTGTAAGTCAACTGACATCTTCATTCCAGCAAATACTGTATGTAATAACATAGTTGCTGAACTATTAGATGTGTAACCTTAAGGAGCTTTTCTGTATGCCTCTGGGAACTACAATTTCTCATTCTTTCTACACTGTACCCCTCTCAAACAGGTAAAAACATATGACTGCAGCTAGCAGGCATGTGCCGGTCTTCTAGAAGTCTACCTTTCTATCAAAATTCTTAAAATACTTGTGGTATTTATGTAATTTGTATATGTGAGGGTATGGGTGGAGGTAAGTGACATGTGTTGAGACAGTAAGGAAAATGGGATTTGTTTCTTTGGCTCTTTTTTCTGCTGTGAGGCTGAAGGGGAAAAGTCTGAGATGAATTAAGGTTCTTTTGATATATCAAGTGATATATTTTCCTTTTTTTTTTTTTTACAGCCACTCCAGTAAGGTGTTCAGTATCATGCTCTGAAGTAAATTATGATTTTCTTATCGCAACATGTAAAAATGCGGTGTGTAGGCTTCCAGATGCCTATTGTACTGATATCTACAATATGATCATAATGAATCTTTTATGTATTTTGTCAGTCTGAAGTTGACTTACACCTCTGTTTTATGGAGTCTTTATGGTTCCTTTCACAGGGGATGTTAAATGTCACCGAGAAAGCCACGTGTCCTCCTCTATCTCATCCAGTAAGAATTATGCAGCATCCTCCTATTGCTGGTGAAGCTTACCAACCTCAGAAGTATGTTTTGTATTCCCTTGTAGGTTATTCAAAAAGCTGGGAAGTATGCAGTCAGCTTGGCCAATCAGAAGGCTACCATGATTTGGGTATGCGTCAGGAACTCATGGCTTTTGCTCTGACACACTGTCCCCCAAGCGCCATAGAGCCATTGTTGGGAGTGAGCAGTTCTTTGCAAACCCAGGTAGGTATTTCTGAAGCGTCTTTAATGCAAATTCAATACTTAGGAAAGTAAAGGGGACTTATTTTTAAGTTTGTTTCCTTAACTTTCACCTCCTAACAAATTTATATTTGTTCTACTCTATTTTTCTACTTTCACTGTTCTATTGCAACAAATGAGGTCTCTTTATAAGCATTTGTATATGATGAGTTGGCTTCTCAAATAGAAGTGCAATTGTATTCTCTATCTTTAGTACTTTTAATTTCTTCATTTATTGCCTGATTGAAACATGTTATTTGCAAATGCAGTTAAATAAGTTTCTCAGTGTTTTCCAGGTGTTTACACCTTGTAATGCAACTTCATTAAATGCCTATGTAAATGTCTATTAAATGTTTATTCTTACATTTTTATGATCTCTACTCAGTATACAATGAAATTATTTTCTCACTGATTTCAACCATGTAATTGTTTTAACAGCTACAACAGGCTTTATGTCTGAGCCGTCTTTATTAACTTTGCAACGACTGACTTCTTAATAGAATCATCTTAGGTGTTCAGCCAATCATACTATGTATGTGAGAACACATAATTGTGACGTTTAAATACAAGTTATGGCAAGATGACACAGCAAACCTTTTGAAAAATTTTATTTGAAACTGCAGTGCAGTAATTTAGATTGTCAAAATGTTAAATTTCTATTCAGTGTAATTGTGGCTTGACCTACATATTGTTACTTGTTTCAGAGTTTGTAACTGTCTCTAGTTGTCTAAGAGTTTGCAATGTTCATAGATTTATCTTTGTGTAATAGAAACATCTTAGAGGTCTTGCATTATGTGTCTGAAGAATGGGGGAGAAGGGAGCAATAGCTACAGTACATATGCAGTCTAATTAAGGCAGCTGCAAGTGCATAGCCTTTTTCTTTACAAAATTGCTTGTATAGCAATGTGTATGAGAAATACAGGCAACATATGAAGACAGTCTGTGCTGCTTCGGTAACAGGATAACATCAGAATAAAATGCTACAAAGAATTTTAAATAAAGTCTAGCTCCTGCAAGCTATTTACTATTTTTTTCATCATGAAAGCACTCAAATTTGAGAGAGGTAGGTACAATTATGAGCTTAAACGTGAGTGGGATCCTTGCAGAATTGATACCTGTACAATATAGAAATAAAAACTTCATTCCTCCCCTTATGTGCTTATACTTATAATTAGAATTTGAAGTCATCAAGCTTTTGACACTGCATAAACTAAAGTTTGTTAGACTTTCTGTCAATTCACTGCTTCTAAATTGCTGTCTCATTCCTTTTAAAGGCTTCCTGTTGGTTGCAGTGCAGTGCAGCTCTTCAGCCACTGGTTATTACTCTCTCGCATCCCACTTCTCCAAGGGAAAAGATTCTCTGTCTTCTCTATTCACAAAACTTGAGTCTGAATTTGCTACTCAGATTGGTTAGTGCAATATCATAGGTAGCAAAAGCGCAGTGATAATTTGCTCTTTGCCCCCAGAAGCCAAACCCAAGTCACGATTTCTGTCAAAGCACGTTTAATCAGTTTTTTCTGCAAATACGTTCTCCATAAACTAAGTATAAGCTTTTCAGCTGTGTTCGTTAATGGTCCTACATGTTCTGTCCAAACACTCTGTGTTTGCGTGTAGATAGATAGATGCAAAAAGTCTTTGTCAGAAGGTCACACTGACCTTCATCAGTTCTATGGCCAGCGGAAATTCTGCTCACAAAGCTACTATCTTGTGTAACAGTTTTCTCTATGGGGTTGCCCAGCAGCTCAGAGGCACAGTTCAGATAATGGATGTCTTTCATGGAAGTTCTTTAGCCTACATAGTACAACAGGGTGCATATAATTAAAAAAAAATATTCTTACATTATGTGAAAAATATTGCACAGAAGTCACGGAGAAGGGAAGGTCATTTTGTCTAGGGACTATAACAGTGAGATGTCAAAGATACCTGTGTGTTCTTCTCCCTGTCTTATCCTGCATCCTTGTTTTTCTGTCATGGAAGCTTTTGCGTCAGAATTTCTTGTGTTTCTTATGACATTAGTTATAATTCTTACATTTGATTATTTTACTGGTAAGAGGTTATATTTATTTTGTGTTTATAGATTCTTTATCAGGCTGTGAATTACCAGTTCCTTCCTATAGAAGGAGGTGAGAATGTAAATACCTCAGGACATTCTTTGTTGATCAGTAAGGATACAGAGGTAAGCTTTAAAGAGAGTTTTTAAAGTAATAATTACTTTATTCTGCGTTATGCTGAAGAGCTGAATTTGAGTTTTTAGCAACATCTAACTGTTTACTAGATAAAATGCACAGCATTGAAGACCTCTACTAGTTTCCATTCTTAAATTGTTTTAAGTTCAAGGTTTTGCTTATGTATTTATACTTAGTCTGTTATGGTTTTTCACTGCTTCTTCCTACACAGTCTTAGCACCATAGAAAAAAATACGTAAACCCAGAGGCATGAGAAGAGGAAGGTACAACAAAACTTAACACAGTAGTGTACGTTAATGTCGGTTTGATTTTTGATCTGTTCCGACTGCAAAACAAAACATTTGTAAATAAACCTGAGCTAAAATGTAATTAAAAAATGTCTTGAATTAAACTTATTTTTCTTCTTTGTTCTGTGCATCATGAAGTTTATGACTTCTTTGACATTTTATAACTTTCATATATTGGATGTGAAGTTATTTTTATGTGTAAGATCAGAAGGAACATTGAGTGTTTTGTGGGAAATAGAGACAGGGCAGCAGGAAAAAGTGCTATTATTTCTACTTTTCATGTTTATTATTTTAGCTTTGTGCATGTACAATTGCAAGTACATCTCTCTCTTTAAAGAAGATGTAATTACCTGTTTATGAAAGAAAGGAATGTCTTTTTCATCCTCTTCAGAGTGGAAAATTCTGAGTTTTATTTATTATTTTCTCTGTTTCCTGTTTAATTTTTTCTGTAGATGATAAACAGATTTGGGGGGGGAGGGGACAAAAACCTTAAAGAAATACAGGTAAGAACAGAGAAAGAAAGAAAAAAGGTGGTGCATGTTGCATAGTCTGGTTTTTTGAGAAGAGTATCTGAGTTGCAGCCTCCTTAATCTCATTGTACCCTTGGGGAATTTTTACCAATGACAGCTGTAGATGGAACACGCTAGTCTTTGCCTTTGGTATAAGACCATGTGGCTTAAAAACCCCACACCTCTCCTTCATGTTATTGGAATGGGAACAGATAACTTCTATGTATATGTCTATATTTTGTGTATATTTTTAATATTTGTATAGGCGTACATGCATAATTTGTATACATATGTGCATATGTAAACATACGTATACATATATGAGTATACATAAAATAAATGGGCGGGAAAGTAAAATAGCACTGAAAACAGTATTCAGAGGAAGAGAGCTGAACACTTTATATATCTGCTAGAACCATTGACATGAAGAACAGGCCTGTTTCACTGGCACGAATGCTTTATATTTTTCTGGAAATTCGTAAATGAATTTCTCTGAGAGGAAGATATTAAGCAGATGTTAATAAAATTGTGGAACCTTCTGATGTGGGTGTGGATGTGTATATTTACAGTATTTTAATGTATATAACAAATTTGTCATGCATCACAGCTGCATTGAGGTTTTTTTCTTTCTGTTTTAATACAGCTTCACGACATGTCATATTTCACACTGTTACACTATGAGTTCTGTATATTTGCTAATTCTGTCTTTTTGTTCTCTCCCAGTTGACTTGGTAGGGATTTAAAGCTTCTTTAATTTCTTGCAATGACACAGGAGGAAACATAGCCAAGAATTTAGTCACTGTATAACCCTTCTTTTCTTACAGACATCTGAAATGTTGGAAAAGCAATATATTCAATAACTCAGTTTCTCTGACTTAACTGAATCCCCTAACTCCAGTCCCTATAGTTCCACTTCAGCTAATTCCTCATGCTTCACCTTCATTGTCTTGCACAGAATTTCAGTTTCTTTAAAGAAAAAACAAACTAGTAAAATTTTTTTTCCTTTCTTTTTACTTCTCTTTCTTTTTCATTTATGTCTTGATTAACTTATAGCATCCTTTTCTCAAGGAATTGACAAATGTTCTTCTTTCTTACTTATTGATACCTTTTCAAATTGGTGCTCTGAATGTAATTTTCCTTATCTTGACTGGACTAAGCTTTCTCTAGCATACATGTGTTTGGGCATCGCTTTCTCTGTTGCATTCAAAATACCTGTCTGTAAGTGTATAAATTTTCCCTTTCAAAGCTTTAGGGACCTTTTTCTACCTCTCCTTACCTTATTGAATCATTAGTTGCCACTACCTTTTTTTTCATTATACCAACCTACACCATCAGCTGGTCATACTTGTTAATCATTCTTCTCTTGATCTCCTCTCCAGAAATGTCTAAACTAATTTCATTTTTGTTAAGTTTTTCCTCTGAAATTTTTTTTCCCATGAAACTTGCAGAAATTTTGATAGCAGCTGGCTGCATATCTCCACAGATTACATAGAAACGTGTCATTTAGCATTGCTGTCATATTGACTTCAGTCTAACTTTTCTCCAAGTTTTTGGTGGTTCTACTCTGAAGGAAATTCCTGATTTCTCTGATAAAGATGCACATAATTATTCTGTAGGAGCTAATGTATTTGCACAAGAATGTACTTCGTTACCTTAGTGCCAGCTTGTCACTGTTGATTGAACTCATGGGATCCGTTGGAGAAATTATCCTTTGGAAACTACAATGATTCCAACACAGCAGACTATTTTTAAGCAAAATGTTAAGTTTCCCCAATCCCCACCCTTTTTTCTCTTTGTTGTATGCTGCAAATGCCTCAACAACTAATCTTGTGCTTCTCAAACGAAATCTCTCAGTGAGAATGTTAAGGTCTTGGTTCAGATTATTATTGCTAACATTAGATTATAATACTTAGTCATGAGATGCTGTGTTGTGTATAAACAGTAGAAACAATAACCATCAATTGCCTTGTAAATGAACTCTGTTAAATCTGCATAGTACTTAAAACGTGCATTATGTCTGTTATAGATAAAATCATCATCTTTTACATATCTGAATGTGAAAACTTAATTACTGTAAAGTAGCACATCAGCACATCAGAGAAATTTACAGTTGTAAATTTCTTGAATACAAACTCTTTGATAGGAGAGCAGACATAATTTCTAGAGGAGAGTATCTTCAAATTATAGAAATGATTTGCTTAAACGTTGCTTAAAGAAAAGAAAATTTCCCATTAACAGAGTATTAGCATCTTCTTTGCTTTTGCATTTTTCCCAAGCACTGGATTTGGGAAAAGACAAGATCTTTTAAAACATTTGTGTACATTAAATTAATATGTCATGCATTTTTATCACTGCTGGTTAGAAATTATTAGGGAGTGTTGTATTTATGTGGCATGCACTGGGAATACTTCTACCTGCAGTCTTTGGAACCTTAGGGCAGAAATAATCCTTCAGCTGCTGTTTTAAGTAGTTGTGATATTTTTTTTTTTTTTTTTAAAGTTTTATTTTTTATTTTGAGATTACCTTGGGCTGTGTTTTGTGTTTAGTAAATGTACTGGTTTATAATAACTGGTACTCGTTATAACTAAAGTTATAACTGCCTGTACTAAAAAGTACTGGTAATAACTAAATTAGAATTCTTCTCATAGGAAGAGATAGCTGTAAGTCCTGAAGGAATAGTGTTCATTTACAGTGTCACTGAACTCATGTGCAGGGGAGGGGAAAAATCTCAATGAGGAACTCTATATGTGCACTATTTAAACTCCTCTTGTAGTCAGTGAAGATCCAGTCAATTGTGCCTAGAGAATAATGCAGTTAATCACCCATTAGGTGCTTGATTCCGTTACTTAATCATAGATACCAACAATTTGAGGTGCCCTAAGTTATCCTTTAGCTACTAACCCAAAAAATCTGTAGCCTGAAAGTGTTGATGTTCTAGGAATGGCTTTTCAGAAAGCAGAATTCTTATTAGTCTAGAAAAGACTGTAATTACTCGTAAGAGTTGAAAATCTTTTTAGAAAAAAGAGTAGTTTTATCTGATAGCAATAGAGCTACAGAACAGAAGCATACACACCAGCATACAAGTTAGCCCGTTAGTTTTCATGCTACTGAAGGAGGGTTATTAAAAAAAAGAAGTGTTTTACTTAACTGCAGTTGAGAACTTGGGGGGGGGGGGGGGGGTTTTTTTTTTCTGGTTCTGTTTTGTTTTGGTTTTGCTTTATTTTTTCCCCATGAAGAATCAGTTAGGTGTTCTGCAGCATCTACTTGAAAATGGAGACAGAGAGCAAAATTAGTATTCTGTATATAACATTTACAATAAATTACAAAAAGCTATTGTACTAGGTACCAAGAGTGGTTTATTAAAAAAATACACGAACAAGAAGTTCTCCCCCACCCCCCAAGCCACCAGACCTAGGATTTTCTGTTGTTTTTAACTTTTCAGAAGAGTAAAAATTCTGGCATGTTGTACTTGGCATACTCTTTCTTCATTTGGTGAAGTAAGAGCTGAAATGTCTAGTTTAGACGGTCAGTTCAGTAGTGGTGCATCTGTGAACTGCAGAATATAATTTCAGAAAAAATTGAAAAAAATGCTGAAGCCTTAATGGAAGGAAGGACTTAAGATGGACTTGGTACTTCAGTAGTCAGCTTGAGGCAGTGATTTACTGCACACTACAGTAAAAGGTACTAAAAATAAGTCTGTCTACAGCAAAATTCTACCTTGCTGAAGCTAACAGATTTTGTCACTGAGGTTATGGTGGGATGTAATTCAGTTGAGCATAACTTAGCGTCCTTTTGCTCTGATGTCTGAAATTTTGTCCTGAGTTAGTAAGTTATAAACTAATACCTCACATTCAGTTTTACAGGTAGAATGTTTCTCTTTCAATACACTTCAGTGTATGGGGAAATGAATGATGAAGTTGTTAGGGAGAAACATTGGATATAAAACTGTTGAAGTTTGTTGCATGGAGGAAAATATTTGTATTTTTTTATTGCTGAAGACTGTGTTTACAGTAGCATGCTGATTATGTATTTGTGTCTAATGCGTAACCTTTGTAAAGCATGCAGTTAACACAAAGCTTTCAGGACTGGAATAGCACAGATCAACCAATGTGGATGTTGTGGGTATAACTTAAATGCTTAACATGAGGAAGAACTGGTACAGAAAGCTCCATTTGTGGAACAGGTCTTCTGCTTTTATGAACTGACTTACATGTGAGTTTACTGAGACTGAGTGAAGATGTTTTACAGTGTAACATTTAGATGTACACGTGCAGGTATTGCGGAAGCAGTTTGGAATTGAGAATAGGCTGGGGTCTCAATTCTTTTTTGCAGTCTTTTAGATTTGCTATATTCAGTGCCTTGTAAATGGCAACTGCAGAATTTCAAATCTTGATGATATTTTTTCACTTGGTCTAGAGATGAATGTTTACATCTCTTCACCATTTCACCTACTGAGAATTCAACTTAATTAATGCTACTTCTGTATATACAAGATTGTCACTACTATCAGCTTTCTTGAATTATTGAAGATTAATTTTAGAATGCTCAATCTCTTCATTTGTAGAGAGAACATTATTTTAACAGAAGCATTCAACAATTATGTAAAACATTACCATTATAAACTTTGGAATTAAAACCAGTTGGTGTCTGTGGAAACAAGAGATTATAACTGAATAAGGGGCAAAATGTTCTGCTGATCATGCTACTCACTTCAGATTGAAACTCCTAAATAACTTTTAATTTGTCTTTTGTTTGTTTTTTATGACAGCTGCTGCTTAAAGTAATGGTCATTAAAATATATTATTAATGTAGTGTGCCTGAACTCTAAGGCTTTAGGTCATTAGCCTAATTAAAGCATGAGTCTAACACTTGCCATTGTGTGTTGGATATGCTCACAGGATGAAACCAACGTCTTCTCTAGCCAGTCTGCTGATTTGTTGTACTGGACGACATCAAAAACCATGGAGGTGTTGTCCAACACAACTATGACTACAAAAGCCGTGCTGCATGCTGTCAGTGATGGACAGTGGTGGAAGAGATCATTAACTTATTTTCGACCATTACACGTAAGGGATTGCTGATATGTCTGCAGATGTTTACTCATTCAATGATACATTAGTATAAAAGCTAGACTCCTTTGTAGGTATCTTATAACTGAAGACTTCAAATCGATAAATGAACTAGAGACATCATGGGATTGTTTGCAAGCAAATCCCAATGAAAGACGGGGTCTAAAGCTGTTTCCTTTTCTTGTTTTCTAATCTATTTTCTCCTGCTTTTTTAGCATAGTGTGAGAAGTCATAGTTGAACTTTGGCAGAACTTCAGAACTTTGGGAAGAAAGCACAGCGAAACCCATTCTTCAAATACTGGCATATTTATATTCAAGCTGTTCCTGTTCAGTTACTGTTTTCTACTTTCTCTATTTCAGTGGTTTTTCTATAATTTTTATGATACTGATTTTTCTGATACTACTTTTGAGCATGATTCTCTTTCCTTTTTTAAGAATACTGGACTTCATTCAGCGTTGGTTTATGTAAGATGACTCCTATCTTGCTCCCCGCTGAATTCAATAATATTTCCATTTACAGTTGTTACCCTTCTGAACAGCAGTTACAGACTTTTTAATGAGCTTTTTTACAGCTAGGCTCAACTATACTTATTTTTCCCAGGGCCAAGAATTTGGAGATGTATTAAAAAGTGGGCCTGGAGAAAATGCCACTGTGGAAAAACAAGGCTGTCATCCGTTTTATGAGTCTCTAATTGCTGATCCATATGTTGCAGAAGTAAGTTTCTGTTACAGAATTCTGAAGTGTTAGGGGTTTTTTTGAGATCTTATAATTAAGTAAAAATAGGGATTTTGGATTATTTGTGTATTTGCAAATTTTGTGCAATAGTAGGAAAAAAATTCAACATTAAACAGAAAGGAAAGCAAATGCAGGAACTGAGGTAGATAATTGCATCTGATGCAAGTCAGCTAAATATAACTGCAGGGTGTAGCGCACATGTGTCAGTTTTCTTATTTTACTTCTAGTCTGAAATCAGTTATGGCACATACCAGAACAATTCTTTGGAAAGCTTTGCAGAAGTATTGCTGAGAACAGAGAAACTGACAGAAACAAAGAGCGAAGGAAAAGACCTGCTTCCAACTACAGAAGGTATGGATATGTGTACATTCACTCCTGTATTTACTGTATATAGTAAATATAGGAGAACCTGTGGATGGGTTTAAATATGGAGAATTGCACACAATGATCTGAAGTATTGCCTGGATTTTTTATAGGAATTGTGATCTGGTTCAATATCTCATGTTGGTAAGTAGTCTTGATAGACGTAGCTGCGGAGTTTCCAAGAGAAGTGGTATTTTTAAAAGGAGTTGCTCAGTAAAGACTGGAAATCTGAAATCTGAAAGTTGGTTTTAAATAAGCAGAAACTGATATTTGAGGGCTGACAAAGATACAAACACTGTGGGGGGGGAAATTGTTGAAGGTTTCCTGAATACTACCATGTACAGATATTTAAATGGAAATTTGCAACCCAGTGTTAATGTTATTTGTATGTATGCCTGTGTATTTATTAGTTCAGATTCTGTCCCATTCTGTATGCAGGTTTCAGTACTGCAGGGTCATTACAGTATTTTATTTGCTAATTAATACTTAACCACAGCTTCTGGAATCATCGGAACTTTTTGTTGTCTTCTGAAATTTCTACATTTTGTAGGAGATTATACCTAATAATTTGTTAACTGAAACAGTTTCAGTTTTTTAAAAGAAACCCAACAAACCACACAAAACTACCTGTGGTTGTTTGTCTTTCCTTTTGACTGTCTCCTGCTGGTTTAAGAAATGAACTGTTTAAATATTTACATGCTGTTAATGTCTCTTGAAGGAAGATATCTGTATTATATTTTACTCTGTGGTAAGTTCTGCCATGAAAAATGAGTATATTAAATCACTTGCAATATAAGAAAAGTGTGAAGTGAGACTTTCTTCATAAGCCACACAGTTTTATTTCAGCTGTTTAGTGAAAACCGGCATATTTGTCTTACAAGTATACAATTCAGTAGTTTGAGATATATGATATTTCTACAGATAACCTGTACAGTTGTAATATAATCACATTGTGAATTAGAATAGGTCAGCAACAGCTTGTATTAATGAAGGTGTATTCACATTTTGTTCCTTTCGTGCTCTCTTAATGCAAAAATAGTTTTAAATCAGTACTTATGATCTCTTTTCTTGCATGCTGAAAACCAGTATGCTTTTGCTCCGATTCCTGTGTCTTAAAGGAGGGGGAGGCAAGGATTAAAAAGTATTAATTGCTTTCTTAGGGCAAATGATGTTAGCAGATCTTTGGTAATACTTTGTGGTCCAACTTGAGTAATTGGAACTCGTTTACAAGTCAATGACTGCCTTTGAGATGGAAATTTCAGTTTTGGGGATTTTAACTTAAAGAAGAAAAGAAATTTTAGATTCCAGCTTTAGTTTTTGAGCCTCTATCTTCCTCCTCTTAAATGTGCAGACTACTATTTTTACTATTTTAGTACTTCTGTTCTCTTCCACCACTCTTATTCTATAGTCAATCTGAATTTCACTTATGAGTCCCTCCAACTGTGCTACACAACTGAGGGTTCTGTGTTTTCCTCTGGAAAATGGAACTATATTTATTCTGTACTTAGCAGTTTTGCTGTATGACACCTTTCAGTAGTCAATAGACCATGTTCTTACACATAAGTGTAACATAGCTTTCTGTAAATGAATGGGTTGGTAATTTGCTAATGGCAATGCATTTAGCCCTGGATTAACAGTATTGGGTCCCACCTCTTCTCCCTTCTTAATGCTTTGCTTTATCAATTCCCATGAAAGTCCTTCTGATGCGTCAACACTTTCAGGATTGTGGAGCTTGAAAATGTGCACATTAATAGCACGCTGCCAAATTTTGAAATAAAAAGATCATGTAGATGTGAACTCCATTTAAAATTCTGTGTTTTTCCTGTATTTTCAGGCTTACTCTAGGGTTTTGGTAGGATTTTGCCATACAAAACTTGAACGCTAATACGAGTTATTAGCTACTATACTAGTAACTAGCAAACATAGACGATTTCATTTAATTCTACTGACAAGTTTGAATCCCATTTGTTTCCTTCTAGCTGTCTTCTAGGACAGCTGCAGCAACAGATTTCAGCTCCATTAGAAGAATTGATGAACCTGGAAGAAGATGCGGTTTAGCAAAGAAACCATAGTTATACTTAACATATTGTCTTAGGAGAAGTTGAGTATGCATGAAACTCTGTTACTGTGGCAGTGTTATGCTCCAGGTGTGAGGGAATGGCTAAACTCTTTCCCCAGAGGCAATGTGCATAATAAAACTCAAGACAATGTTTGCTGCTTCTTTTGTGTATTTGGTAGGGTCACAAGCCTTGGACTTTGACTTTTCTTGTCATTTCTATCTGGATGTAGGAGGTAGACTGAGCATTTTCAAGTGAAGTGGTAACACCCATCACTTTGGGTCCAGTAAAACACTCATTTCCTCAGTTGTGCTGTTACAGTGCATCAAAACTTAGCGTGACCTAGGCAGTGTTGAGCATCTCTATTTAACTGTAATTGTCTTTCTCCATAGCCCTTAGAGGTTGGATGGGGAGGTTGAAGATGAGATCTGAATGGGAAGTTACTACAATTAATGCCTGCATTTTGCTGTAACCAGATTAAGTACTAAACTTGAAGTAAATCCAAGAAAGCTGGTCATACCTATTAATCCTCAGAAGTTTTAGAACAAAGAATAGCTTAATGTTTTCCTTGATTTTGTAATTGCTTGTAGATATGGCTGTTTAACTGCAATATATACTTTTAAGTTTAGTGAGATTTTGTCACAAGCTTAACAACTGAAGACTTGAAGCAATTTTTGCATTTTTTTCAGAGAAAAAAAACATGGAAAAAGAGTTGAAGCTTCGTAGGTATTGATAAATTCCAGTTTTCACAGATCAACCATTTTATTCTCTACTTTGCCTTCCAGACAGGCTTGTGGCATGCATAAAGACCTGCACAGGAAATAAGTTATTCATAAAATTGATTTTTTTTTTTTTGTGCGTTTTCCTAAGGAAATATTGCTTGTGGGACAGCAGCATCAGCTCTTTGCTTGTCACTGCCTGTCCTCCCTGGTTTGCCACCCCTGTAATGTTTAATCCCTTTGGCAAATTTCAAATTTGGCAGTGGTCTGAAATTATTCTAAGTTCCTGTAAATTTTGTGAAGATATATGAAAGGACAGAATGCCATCCTGCCAATGTCCGTAGACTGAGATTTGAACTCAGCCCTGTTAGACATCAGAGAATTCCTGGAGGGCTTCACTGGGAGACAGAAAACTGTATGTAATTAGTCTTTATGTATACACATGTGTTTGTGTGTATGTGAAGTAGGTATCTGTGTATGGATACATGGATACATATCTGCACACAAGCACACAGAAAACTTATTTATTGAATGAGTACTGGGGATGTTTTTTTCTCAGAAGGGAAGACAATGGAGGCAAGTCTTTTTAAGTACATTCTAGCAACTAAGATGCCTTTGTATTGAGCTTCATGCAAGAATATGAATAAAATCATATTTCTGACCTTGTATTGGTCCTGTGTTCTTTGTCACTATTGCTATCTGAAGGGTGAAGATAAATTTTTGCTAGTGTGGCAGTTGTCATGTTGGGGATGTTAAGTAGGAAGAGAACTCACAGTTTATTATATATTCCTGAGGCTTTGCAGTCATTAATTTTCTAGAGAAAGGGAAAAGAGGACACAGCCCAAAACCTTCTTTCCCTCCTCCTATTTTCTTTTGTTCAACTAGAGGTGGTTGTAAGAATGTATAAACTTCGCTTGTGCTCAGAGTAGGAAATACCAGTTTTGCAAACTAATTCATCAAGATTTTAATATTAGATATTTCTAGAGTCTTACTATCTTTGCTTGGACAGCATACAAGTTATTTTGAATGTAGCAGAAACAAGCTGTCAGCAGCAAGAAACTGTTGGTGAAAGCTATTTGAAGCATAGAGCATAGGTGCTGTTGGACAGGCTTGTATTTGCAGTAACTGTGGTGTGTTGCCATGTAGACAGCCTCTGTGATGAGTTGTCACATAGAAATTTGGTTTTTTGTATCTGGCTGAGAGCCAGCATGTAAATCCACTTCACGCTGATGGCAAATTAATGATAATCTGAAAATTATATTTGGTCATTGAAGCCCTTTATAAATCATTCTTTGGAACAAAGAATTCAGTGGGGGCCTGTGTGTGTAAAGTAATCAGGTTTCTTGCCAGTATGCCCTCAAGAGTAGTTTGTGTAATGTGGGAATATAGGTATTTGAGACTTTTGTATAATAAACAAAGAGCTAAATTGCTGGAAGATGTCTTCTACTGATTGGAACAATAACAACAACAGCAATAATAATATCAACTGTGAAAAGAAGGAAATGTTGTTTTCATGGTATGCTTACAATTGCTTGTGCAATTTCGGGTCCGTGTTTCATAAGATTTTTGAATTTGTCACTGGAACTAATAACTTAAGTATATCACAAGAGTAGTTATTCTGTAATTGTTTGTTGGCACTTTTGTAGCAGCCACAGTGATGCTTGACTTTAGTACAGAAGGAGATAACTGCATGAAGGAGAGATCCTGTTACTGATTAACAAACCTTGGGCACTCACATTGTGTCTGTGTAATTGGTTCTCCTATTTGCATAGTGTAAAATATAGTTTTGGTATATAGGTAGTATATAGGTTTAGTATATAAAATATATAGTTTTTTTAAACAAAAAAACAAGTTTGGTATCTATAAGGTAGGAAAAGCAGGAAATTTTTGTGTCAGTTTTACCAGAAGTATATCTTTTTCTACTCAGAATAAGTATTCTTTGATGCATTAATTTTGACTATGTCGTTGTGCTGATATTTCTGTTTGCAATATATGACAGGACCTGGTTTTGGTGTTTCACTGATCTTATTTAAAATTCATATGACACTTTGAGCTTGCTTTTCTTTTTTTTAATTAAGACAGAACTTTTTAATATGGTTTGTTGTGTTCAGTGATAAGTGAATTAGAGCTCAGGCTTGAAGAAAATTTTTTACCGTTCCTCTGGTTGGTATCTTTGAATGCTTAAAACATTAGATTACTGCCTTGATTTTACAAGCAAAAGATTTACTTGTCATAAATCAGTACAGGTGATATTTTAGTGGCTTTGTTTAGCATCTGTTACTGCATAGTCTCATTCTCGTTTGGTTAATGCATCAAACATGTTGCCTGGAAGTCAAGGTAAAGCTGTGCTGCAGTTTAATTACATATTATCTGTTTCTAGATTGCACTGATAAGTGTTTAATTAAGTATGTATAGAGTGCTTCAAGCTAGTGTCTAATAAAATATAGATACACTGAAAACATTTCATTTACTAACTGTCAAGGCTAGATGGGTCAGTAATCAAAGCTTTATTTCTGCTCCCTATATGTTGCAGTTCTGCTACAACTGGCAAGTGATGCTTTACCAAATGATATGGCCTTGTCTCTTGCCTATCTCCTTGCACTGCCGCAGGTATGTTGATAGCGATTTTGTTTGTATGTTTTTGCCAAGAAAGACTATTCATAGCATTTCAAAATTCCATAAGAAGATTTAATTTCCTTAGAGTTTTAAATTCTAAGTATTTGAATTCTGAAATGCACATTTTTATAGATTAGACTGGTGCATTTAAAGGAAATTCTGAAGAAATACTGTTGGACTGGCTTATGAGCATGGCGCTGGCAAAAAGACACATTTTCTTTCTTAAAGTAGTAGTTGGGCCACCAGAATGACAGTTATAACGTAGCTCAGAAATATGGATAATAAATTTGTGGTATAGAAGCAGCAAAACTGTAGTTGGAAAATCATTTTGGTTAGGTGTTTGTGCAAGGGGGGAGAAACATAATGTGGAATTATCTTTGTATGTGTGTGTAGGTTACTGATTTATTTCTGTGCCAGAAAAACATAGAACTATTGCTAAATCACAGCAAGTAGCTTTTTTAGAAAGTTTGTACACTTAATGTTGTATGCTTGCTAATTCTTTCATCTAAATTAATGCTCTCTTTCTCCTAGGTGGTAGATGCCAACAAATGCTTTGAAAAGCAATTACATTCTGCGTTATCTCTCCAGCTGGCAAGTTATTACTATAGCCTGCAGATCTATGCTCGTTTGGCACCATGCTTCAAGGACAAATGTCACCCTCTCTACAGGGTTAGTACTCTTTCTCTTTAAAATCATATTCATTAATGTGCAGCATTAAAGCTATTCTAAAAAGCCAGTACATGAGTTAAGCCTGTTAAGGAGCTGATCTGACTTACATAGTGAGCAGCGTTTTAAGTTACGCATAATTACTCTTCTACAGCGCTGTCAACAGACAAGTATTTCACAATTTGTGGGAGGGTTTTTGAAGCCCAGTATGAAGTGTCCTCTATACGTAATAGCACTATCAGTCTTCAAAGTAGCTTATAAACACTGAGCAATAATGACCATAACCTATGCTGTCATCTTGCAATACTGATACAATATAGTACTTCCTAGGATGAGTCAAGCATCCATTACAAGAAGAACGGTGCTATTCAAAAAGTTTCCATAGCCTTCCTTGAGGTGTATTGTTTTGTATTTCAGTTTATATATGGTTTTTTGAAAATTCATCCTCATTCCTCCTGGCCTGTATCAGAAGCAGTGTGGCCAGCAGGACTAGGGAAGTGATCATCCCTTTGTACTCCGTGCTGGTGAGGCTGCACCTCGAATACTGTGTCCAGTTTTGGGCCCCTCACTACAAGAAGGACATTGAGCTGCTGGAGCGTGTCCAGAGAAGAGCGACACAGCTGGTAAAGGGCCTGGAGAAAAAGTCTTACGAGGGGCGGCTGAGGGATCTGGTGGTGTTTAGTCTAGAGAAAAGGAGGCTGAGGGGGGACCTTATCGCCCTCTACGACTACCTGAAAGGAGGTTGTAGCAAGGTGGGGGTTGGTCTCTGCTCCCCAGTAACTAGCAATAGGACGAGAGCAAACAGTCTCAAGTTGCGCCAGGGGAGGTTCAGGCTGGACATTAGAAAGAACTTCTTCACTGTTAGAGTTGTTAGGCATTGGAACAGGCTCCCCAGGGAGGTGGTGGAGTCACCATCCCTGGAGGTGTTCAGAAAAACATTTAAATGTGGTGCTTCGAGACTTGGTTTAGTGGATTTAGTGGGCATGGTGGCATCAGGTATACAGTTGGACTTGATCTTTGAGATCTCTTCCAACCATAATGATTCTATGATTTTATTATTCTGTTCATTGATGAATTTGTTGATTTCCTTTGATTAGTGTTTCTTTTTGAAATGGCACAGCTTTACTTCTTATTCATTACCGTGATTAAAGCAGCTACATGGTAAACCTCAAACTAAATCGAAAAGGTGACATACAAAAGTTTAGTAAGGCACCAATTGCAATTCCTACTAAGATACCTGAGTAAAAACTCTTCTTTGCCACTCCAAGAGAGTCTTTCTGAATTTACACCATTTCTTTCCTCCTGCGCAGAAGCTCTGTGGACTGTTTGGTTTTCAGCCTAACTCTGCATTACAGCTGAAAGAACACAACTAGTCACAAGTTTTCTGAAAAGAGAGAACACTGATTACCACTGTGGCATGAGAGGAGATTTTTTTCCCATGTTCAGAATGACTCCTGATTTACAGAGGAAAGCCTGTTTTGTTATTCACCCAGTTCTGCAATTAGGCAGCCTTTCATGTTCCTGC